CCGACCTCCGTCGTGCCTCCCCGGGGCCAGCCGTGCGCCCAGGGCGAGCGAGCGTGCTCGGGGGCAGGTCGGGGACCGTCGCTGCAGCCCGGGGGCCGCGTCCTTTGCTCTGGCGGTCGGCGGTGCCGGCCCGCAGGAATTGGGCGACCGCGGTCGCTAGAAACGCCGCGTGCAGTCGCGCCTGCGGGTTCCTACCCTCTCCGAATCCGTCTCCACCGCGTTTCCTTCCGAGTGGACTCGGGCTCGGTCCTTTTCCACGCTCCTTGCTTTGGAAGCCCCGGGTTACGCTCTCGGCGAGGAGCACTGCCGTCGTGCAGTGGCGGTGGGCAGTGCGTGTGTCCTTGGGGACTCCGGGGCTGAAGCCAGCAGGTTGTGGACGTGTTTGTCCTCGCGTGCCCAGAAGGTAGAATAACGCAGAAGCCCCGGGTCGGGGGAATGAGGGAGGAGACCTCCAAGAAGTGAACATAGAAGACGGTCTGGGGACGTTCACTTTAGTTATTAGATGAAATGGACTTCTTTTTGCTTTATTCCGGTGTCTGTTTGTTTGTTTGTTTGTTTGTTTGTTGGCTCGAGGTGGTAGTGGAGAATGGGCATTTTTCTTTTCCTTCTTGAATTGGATCGAATCTGGAGGCCTTGGAAGGAATTTGTGTGAAAATGTTCTAGTTTACCCCTGACGGAAAACGGAAACGTTTTTATGTTTGGTAGTTTATTTTGTGAAGAACGCATTATAAATGAGAGGCAATTTATTTTTGGTAAGGAAGCTGAATGCTTAATTTTATCAGGATATTGCCGTACTTATTACAAGAAGGACATTGATTCAGAGTTGGCAGTGCTTTGAAAATCAAGATCTGGGGTGTAAATACAGATTTTTAAATTAGAAGAAATACAGATAATTAAAATGGCTAGGATTTCTCCATAACAGCTTTAAAGGCCAAACACATATTTGTGCGTGAAAATTATCTCATTATGTGAGTGAGCCTTATTTAAACTAAAAAAAAAAAATCCTTTCATGATTTCAGCTGTGAATACTTTAACATGAACAGAACTGTATATTGAGAGGTGTGTGTGTGTGCACGCGCATGCGCACGCACGCTTCGTGGCTACAAAACCCCAAGAACTGCATTTGTCCGTATTCAGTTTTCTTCTTGCACGTTAATCAGGAGCCAGCTCTAGAGTCCTGGCTGCTGCGGCTCCTTATTCTGAGATTCCATTTTAATTCGGAATCTCTTTTTTTAATGCATGAAGTATACACCTTGACTAATTCTCTCATTAATCTAATGCCTAGAACAGCAAACAACAAAAAAGCAGCAGCACCAAAGCCATTTTTTTTTTTAAGTAGATATTTTCCCTTATGGGAAAAAGCGGATGAGCTGACACAGCTTTCTGTTTCAGAGCTTGCACTGGGTTTTCTCGGCGAGGGCGTGCTCCATTTTAATTATCTGTTAGAGCCGCGAACAGGAAGGCATTACTTTGTCTTGATTCCTCTTTTTAAAAGTTGGGAAAACATTATGGCATGAGGTCTCTTGCTTACATTCTTCTCCTGTGATGTGGTCCTCGGCCTCTGGGACGGGCACACTGGCCACGACCCCAGCCTCAGTGTCATCTGCTGCCGAAGGCGATCCTTACCGGGTGGTTTGGGCAATCTGTGACTTGACAGGATCTGTCCCCTCCCGAAATACTTCCTCTCATTTATCGTTTTTGTTTTTTTTTCATGTTCGATTTCCTGTAGGATTTCAGATGCATGCCAGGTTTCCACTGATTGCCAGAATTCGAGAACCCTACACATGGATCCCCCAAATCAACATGGCAGTGTCAGTTCATTAGTCGTGATCCAGCAGCCGGCGTTGGAGAGTCGGCAGAGGCCGGACTATGAGCGAGACGTTCAGCCTGCTGCTATTCTGTCCTTGGACCAGCTCAAGGCCATCAGGGGCAGCAATGAATACACGGAAGGGCCGTCAGTGGTGAAAAGACCCGCGCCTCGAACAGCCCCACGACAAGAAAAGCACGAGAGGACTCACGAAATCGTACCGATTAATGTGAACAATAACTGCGAGCCCAGACCGACGGGCCACCTGGGACACGCGGGTCTCGCCCATCATGCCCGAGGCCCCATTTTGAGCAGATCGACCAGCACCGGCAGCGCAGCCAGTTCTGGGAGCAACAGCAGCGCCTCCTCCGAGCAGGGGCTGTTGGGGAGGTCGCCGCCCAGCAGACCTGTCCCGGCTCATCGGTCTGAAAGGACGATCCGGACCCAGCCCAAGCAGCTGGTCGTGGATGACTTGAAGGGCTCCTTGAAGGAGGAGCTGGCGCAGCACAAGTTCATCTGTGAACGGTGCGGGAAGTGCAAGTGCGCGGAGTGCACGGCGCCGCGGGCCTTGCCGTCCTGCCTGGCCTGCGACCGGCAGTGCCTGTGCTCGGCCGAGAGCATGGTGGAGTACGGCAGCTGCATGTGCCTGGTCAAGGGCATCTTCTACCACTGCTCCAACGACGACGCGGGGGACTCGTACTCCGACAACCCCTGCTCCTGCTCCCAGGCGCACTGCTGCCCGCGGTACCTGTGCATGGGAGCCCTGGCGCTGTTCCTCCCGTGCTTGCTGTGTTACCCTCCCGCCAAGGGCTGCCTGGAGCTGTGCCGGGGCTGTTACGACTGGATCCACCGGCCGGGCTGCAGGTGCAAGAACTCCAACACCGTCTACTGTAAGCTGGACAGCTGCCCCTCGCGGGCGCAGGGGAAACCCTCCTGATGTGGGGAGGTGGGTCGGACCTCCCGAACGTCTGGCTTTCAAGCCGCGGCTGTTAAAAGAAGATGCTGTTAGATACTGGTTTTGTTTCCTTGACGATGCTTCCCCGTCTGCCGCCTCCTCTTCCCCTGTTCCCGAGGTTTGACTCGTGGATTCTGCTCCCGCGGGTGGACTGCGAAACTGCACCCGCTCCCACTTGAGGACCAGAGCTTCCTCCAGCCGCTCGAGAGGGCGCCGAGAGCCAGTGGGTTTTCGTGCAGCGTTATCATCCTGCCAGCAGCTCTCCGAAGCTGTCCGCGTGAACACACCCACCCGGGCCCGACGACAGCAACGCAGAGCTGTTTCGATTGGGTACCCTGGGAGCAGGGAGCCGGTTCTTAAAGAAGCTACCGTTTCATTGCTTCAGTAAGCTGTGGATCAGATCTTCATACCGTTGCACCCTCAAGTAGCACGGGGCACGTATTTATGCTACAACACAAACGTTTTCCTTTAACCACTGCCCTCTCCTGCCCCCTCGGAGTTCTGTTCCGTCAGTTTTGGCGTTATCTTGATCTAGAGGTGCCAGCTATGTAATTTTCGATTTACTTTACGATGTAAATCTTCACATTGGAGATATATAGGTTGTATTTTGCTCATCCTCATTCTAGGTTTTCATGTTTGTGAAGGACCTAGCTACCTTCCTTCCACACCCACGCTTCTTACCGAATTTCTCCCGTCACAGAGGGCACTTGGATAACCGAAGTTGATATTTATAGCTGATCAGTCCACAGGTGTCACAGAACTACGCCGCCTAAAGTGATCTTGGCTCCCTGGTCCTTCTGGCACCTCGGCTAGTTAACAGCGGCGTGATGCTAACCTTTTCTGTGTTTTCATTGCCTTAACCACAAATTGTGGTGCTTTTTGTATATTTTATGTATAAATCACAAAGTTGAATTCTGACTATTTTTAAGACAAAAGTCTGTTAAACTTTTTTATTGTAAAGAATATTTATTATGCGAATCTCTATTATTTTATGATATTTATTGCAAAAGACTGTTGAAATGTACTCATGTCTGAATATAACAAAATATCAATACATAACGGAAAATAAGGTGACACGAAGAAAGTACATATGTTAACTATAATGCAGAAAATATATTAATTAATGAAACTGTCTCTCGATTTTTTTTCATTTATTAGCCTGTATTGTCATGGTGATTTCTGTCATTGGCTTTGACTGTTTCTTCATGTACATCTATATTATTCATTTGCCTTAACTTACCAAATCTAGACATGGGTGAGCTCAAATTCTGAAGTAGACATTTCCTGGAAAATGCATCAGTGAAAATTTTGTAGTCCCAATTCTGTTTCGTACAAATTCCCAGTGAATCGCTATGAAGTCACACTTTTTTTTTGGTAATTAATGTTAACAATCACCCTCTGCTTTGGCTGTTTCGTAAGCAAGAGGTTTTGTGTATGTCATAGTTGATGGGAATGGGACATAATCTGGAAGTTTTGAAAAACGTTCATCTTAACTCGGGTTAATCAGAAGTTAGTCTTCGTCAGCAGAACTTAAAGAACTTAGTTCTGCGGGCATGCTGGGAGTCTCGGGCACTGTCACTTTAATAAAACTTTCTAGAAGTTAGATCCACCAAGGGAACAGTTCACATTATCGGGGAGACAGTTTACAGTATTCCTGCCCCTGCCTTTTCCTTTCTTTTAATAAGTCTTTAGTGCAACCTGGTCAAATTATATTTTTGTTATGTCCTGTGGAATAAGAAATCTGAGGGCTTGAAACGATATATGGGAAAAGGAAAACGTTTTTATTTTTCAGTCTGCGGAAACCACTGCGCAGCTAGACTCTTCGGTCTGGTAAAATTTTGTTCAGGCGAATCCCCATGCCTAAGTGATAATGTGGAACCCGAAAAATTATCTGCATTGGAGAATAACATTTTGACATCATTCGAACCCAGGATTGAGGCAGTCAGAGCTCTTACCCAGCTTTTTCGATTTGGTTGGTGTCTCTCAGATGGTTTGGCTCCTCGTTTTAGGAGTATTTTTGTTCTTTGTAAATAGGCTTCGGTTTTGTCGCAATATGACAAGGCGAACGTGATGAAAGCTTGTTTTAGTGCTGATCCATCCAGCCACTAAACCTATGAGTCGGCATTGTGACATTTGATGTAATCAAACGGTGTGTTTTCTGAAAGCACATGGATGTCTGTGTTCTGGAGGCCACTTCACAATCTACGGTATTTCAAAACGTGAACGTATTTCCTCCTGTATCCGAGCTACGCATCGTTATCACTGGTCATGTAACACTGAGGATTTCATTGAGATTTGGCTCCTTAACGAAGTGTATAAATATACAGACTCCCTCAAAATACTGCGTAATTTTTTCTGTTATTCAGATCCTTGTTATAATGAGGAGTTGGTGTAAGGGCGGTCCGTAGTTATAATGAGCAGACTATGAAGCTGTAGTTTTTATTGAAAGAAATTTTTAACTTTTATGAGAATGAGGTATGCCGTGGAGTTTTAACTTCTGGCTATATCACAGAATCCATTAAAATTACAGTGATAAGTTGGTGGTCTGCTGCTGCCGGGGCCCTGTGCGTCCTCTGGCATAAGGTCGGGCCCGTATTGAGATGTAGTGACTGGTCGGACGGTCAGACTTCTACAGGTTTCTCAGGTGGCAAAGCGAAAACGCTTTGATTCAAAACTTCCTCTTTTGTGATGGTGTAAACCTAGAAAGAAAAAAAAATATTAGGGCAGTGTCTTTATCAGTGCTCGTGGGTCTTAGACTTTTGAACCTTACCCGATTGTTATTCTGAAGTGCTAAGCCTTTGAAAGCATCGGCAAAGCTGAAATTTCTTACAGTACCACTGCCATTTATTTGATCCTGCTAAGTGAAAAATAGCACGCCAGATAGCTGGGCTAAGCTTCTTCCCCTCCCATTCCACGATTTTGTCCCCCTGTCTCAACGACTCCAGTTTGACAGAGAGAACAGTTTTGTTAAATAGTTCCTTTGCAGCATATTTTCTGACTGCCAATTTTGTCCTTTCAAAAGAGTTTTATTTAGATAATGTAATTGTGGATAAAACCAATACCGGATTTCTGTAATTGAGTAGTTTCCTGTCAACACCGACTTTATAAAATGGAACCTAGCAGAAATATGAAATGCGAAAAAGTAGATAAGGCTTCTTTTTGTGAAGGCCTAAGGTGAATCCTTAAATTACAGGCTTTATAATTATGTTTTTGGTTTTCAGAATCCAAAACCATAGGACATTCCAGTTATGACTAAAAAGTTAAAAAACAGTGGTCTTTAAAGTGAAAGGAAATAAGTTAAAAAACAAATTGTGTTTTTAACCCTAAAATTGGTATTGGAACCACACTCAGAATTCATTTCTAAAAGACTGAGTTTGAAATTGTCTCTTTTTCCTAAATCTTTTTAAAAACAGTGTTGTATTTCGTGGCAGTTTTTATGTTTGCTCTTTAGCAATAAAAAAACAAAATCCCTGTGGAAACATTGAAATTCTGACACAAACAGGAAAAAAGAGTGTCTAGACAGTTCTCATCTTAAACTCTACCCCATATAGATTTTTTTCAATTGCAAGAGAGAATTTGGAGTCTAAATATCTTGAAAACAAACCCTTAAGTCCATCTTTCGGCCAATGAACAGTTGGAGGACTTTTTTTCCCCCCATTATTTCACTGAATAAATACAATAAAAATAGCCATGTACTTAGTTGACAAGTTATTCATTCTTCTTGTATCGTCTCAGCTACCAAGCCATGTTTCCACATTGATGGAGCACCCGCTTAGGTGCGTTATTCTGCGTGTCGAAGAATTCTGGCGCTAGGACTAGATCTCCGAGTGCGTCTTCATGTTTCTCAGGTCTGCAGGAGAACAAATGGGTCACCGGTTAAAAAAGTTAAAAATCCTCAGGTCCGTGTCATAGCTCACACCTGTTGTATCGGAAGACACTGCTGGAGGAGCCTGGTGTTCTGGGTTTTTAAAAAAGCGGCTTGGGCGATTTGGAATCGCTTTCTCAGCTCCACGCCTTCGTGTTGAGGGTGTGGAATCAGCTCTGTCTTGAGAAGACGAGCGAGCGGCACATGGCAGGGCAGGGGCCGGACTGGCGGGCAGGGCGGTCTTCATTTCTCAGCTGCCAGCCCAGCGCCTTCACGCAGCCCTGGACAGCCCGCACCACTCCATTCTCTTTACCGGCCAGTCTCCCCTTCTTAATTACTATATTCGACCGTAATTTAGGAGCTGGAATGTTTTTCTGCGTGTATTATTTGCACTGAGCTCTCAGGAACAAGTAGCAAATGACTTCGTTGCCATGATTATTTTTCATATGTTAATATTAAAGTGAACTTCCTTGGAGAACTGAGCCTGTGTGCTTCCTCAGACTAGGTTTATATGGTAATTATAGAGCAGATTATAGTGACTTGGCATCTAGATTTTAGGACGTGTGCGATGGCACTTCTTAGCATTATTTTGGTTGCATTTGGATTGCAGTGATTCAAAAGCAGATTTAAATGTTCTCTTTTGTACGATTAAAAAGATTGGCATTATCCTTCAGTCGAATCATCCTAGATATGGTAATAATTCCAATCGGAAAAACTATCAGAGAACCTGGAACTATTTTGAACTGGATAATTTGGGAAAATATACTGGAAGCTTCCATCACTCACCGGTAGTCCAACCACAGCTTGTTTTGATAAAATAATCATAGAATCATAATTTTAGTGCTAAAAAGAAACTTAAGAGGTCATCTCATCCATCTTTAATTTAGTGGCAAGAAAGCCAGGTTCAGAGAGGTTACTCACCTGAAGTCAGGATGCGGCTGCCCAAAATAAACCTCGTAAAACCCCAGCTGCTACACGTGTGCACGTGACAAATGGTGGGAAGGGAGGAGAGATTGTGTTGGGGGTGGGTTTGCACGAAAGTTTCAGGTTAGTTTATAAGTTATAAAATCCAACAAATTTGTGAAAGCACCGTGGACTGAGGGTGCCCCAAGACAAAGGGCTGCAAAGGGGAGTCAGAGGAAACTACTGGAAGGAAACCAGGCATGTCTTTGGGAAAACAGTTCCCGATTGGCTAGCAGTGGCTCTCAACTTCCACTGACCATTAACATCCCCTGAGAGTGAAAAACAACAACAAACGAAGCCTGTGCCTAACCTCCCCCGACACCCCCATCCCCGGGGCCCAGGTCGGTCCATCAGAATCTCTGGGGATGCGGTTTTGGGTTTTCTTTGTCCTCAAAGCACCCCAGGTAATTAATTCTAAGGCACAGCCATAGCCTAGAGCCTCTGAATTAGCTTATAGGTGTGTGTAGGGGATTGTGGGACATTAAATAACAGATTCAGAGAGAGAACCCAGAGGTATTAAGGCTCAGAACTCTCTTAGTAGTGGGACTCGGGCGAAGGGGTCACCGGAGGAAGCATCACACATGGCAGATCTACAGGACTTTCCCGTTATTGGTATGTGGGCTTGAGCTTTTGGACCCAGATGAACAGGCAAATGGTAGTTCTGTGAGAGGAAATGGGTGGCATGCGTTTAGGTGGTATGCAGCGTGGGAAAAGTTCCGACTTCTTGGGGTAAACTCTTAAGGTGCAGGCGAGTTGCCAGCAGGTCATTGGGAAAGAAGTCTAGAGTTTAAGAGAGGCGAGTGATGGCCTGTCATCCACAGGGGGTGTCACAGGGCACCTGTGGCATAGATCTCTAAGGGAAAGGATGGGGTTAAAGCGGGCTAGGGACAAAACCTTGAGGAACGCACCCACATTTAGGAGGCACAGAGAGTTGTAGGTCCAAAGATGAGAGGGATGGTCAAGGAAGCGTAGGCACCACGAGCTTGGCAGATTTCAGAACCTGAGGGAGCCTTTCAAGACGGAAGTTAGTGATTAAACGTCCAAAGCTGTGGAGACTCCCAACTAAACTTGGTGGGTGGCATTTAGGTGGCATTATGGTAATAAAAACCAGGTGGCATGGGATTAGAAACGGGTGGGTGGTGCGTACGTGCAGGTAGGTAAGAGCTTGGATTATTCTAGAAATTTTGAGAGAGGAAAGTATCTAGAGGGAGCTGACAGCTGAGGAGGATTTTTAGAATAACAGAAACCTGAGTCCTTTTGTAGGCAGAGAGCAATCGAGAAGGTGTGATGGGGAAGAGGAAGCCGGGGAG